AACAACTCTATCCTAGATTTCATTGTGGACTTCTCAAGTTATTAACTTAGCAATGTAAATTGTACCCAGGATTGTTTCATGAATTTAACAGGTGACATAGCCAGCTGCCATGTCACTTAACCATTCAGTGCCTGCCTCAGACTACCTGGTTCTCCAAAGCATCAAGATCTGAAGTGGATAATGATCTCCATAGGGATTGTTTGCTGAGGTTAGTAAAAGACAATTTACAGGCAATGTGGTCTCATACGTCAGGCAATCAAACGGCGCTCCTTCCACCTTCCACTTGGCAACAGAAGTGGAAACGTCATAGAAGCGAAAAAGAAGGCTCACTTGGTCAGATTAACAGACATGTTAACAAATTTGCCTCTTCTCTCCTTGGTCAGAACTTTATTACTGAGTTACAAAGAAGACATTATTTGTAAATGTTTGCTCCCCCCCTAAAAAATCCATTTTGATTTTGTATCATATCTTTCAAATTCTAACCTTGAGGACAGAAACAGATACATTAATACCGATTTTGCTTAGCATTCCTCGGACCCTGATTCACTTCCCGTTTGGATTATCACAACATGCTCTACATGGGGCTGTCCTTGAAGACTACCCAGAAGTTACAACTGGTCCAGAATGAGGCGACATGGGCAGTGATGGGTGCCACTAGGTTGACCCACATTACATCCCTTTTGCATGAGCTGCACTGGTTCCCATTTTACTTCTGAGTGCAATTAAAGGTGCTGGTTATTACCTTTAAAACCCTATATGGCACAGAACCCAGTTATTTGTGGGACCGCCTCTCCCTAAGGACATCTGCCAGTCCTACCAGATCAGACAGGGTAGGCACGCACCTAGTCTCTTCCCTCATATGTTGTCATCTTATGGGACCTAGGAAGTGGGTCTTTTCTGTGGCATCCCTACCCTTTGGATCATCCTTCCCCCTGAAATTCAACAGGCTCCCACCCTTTTAACCTTCCAAAAAGCACTCAAGACCTGGCTTTTCCCCCAAGCACTGGGACAGGGTGAGCTAAGTTTATTATGGTGCCAGGTTTTTTTGGTTTAATATTTTTGGTTTTAGTATCTTTGGTTTTAATATTTTTATTGTACATAGATGTAGCTTTATCTCTTGGTTTTGAGCTGGCCAGAGTTTGGCACAAGATGGCCAGCTATATAAATGTTACAAAATGAAATGAAATGAAATGAAATGAAATGAAATGAAATGAAATAAAATAATGCTGTTCTGGGAGCAGCACTTTCTTAAACCATCAATCCATCTATGCTAGTTTTAGCAATTC